TTTCGAGTATTGCCAAACACCCATCATCAGTGGTCTTGAATATAATTCTTGTATTTAATTAATCGTAAATGATTATTTTAAATAATAACTATTTTAAAGTACTTACTTAATAATTTCATTAATATAAGAATTCATTATCAATCTAATTATTTAGTAAAGATAATAGTGATACAGTGCGTAAAAGTCAGTATTGGAATCGATATGATTGCTTAATAAGCAGAAATTAAAATTGATATCTGTAATTAATATTTACTAGCTTTTTAGATGCAAAGTAATTTTAAAGTTTCAAATTGTCTTAAATAAGTGTTATGAGTAATTTAAATTGAACTAAAACTTCTTAACTCAAAAGTTTTCCATTAGTACGAAAGTTGCAAAGTCAATTTGCCTTTCTACTTGAAGTATAGTTTGTAAAAACAGTTCCTATCTTAAAGCTGTTTATGTAAATATAAAAAGAGAGAAAAAATAAGTTAAATTCAATTACTTGGATTTGTATTAAAAAGCTTTTAAATGTGTAAATATGGAAGGATTCGCATAAGTAGTTTGAAAATCTTCAACAGTCATATAAATAAATATTTTTAAAGAAAAAAGAAGAAGCAGGAAATGCAACGCATTCACTTCTTTAAAAGTTGAAAACTGCACTGTTCAGTTTCGGAGAAAGTACATCAGAGTAGTCATCAACAGTAGTTGCACGAGAATAAGTGATGCACTTGTAATAGAAAATGTTTTTTACATATTTGATATTAAATATTTGTGCTTAAGTAATAGAAAGGTTTTTAAACAGAAGTGGACTTCAAAATGTTGTTTTTAATTAAGTGAATTTTTGATTGACCATATTGTAAGTAACTCATATTTTTTTTCATACTTTGATGTATAATTTATAATCAACGTATAAACGTTCGGTAAGTTTTATAACCGAAACCGAATCTAAAATGAAAAAAAACAGATAATTTTGCAGAAGCGAAAACCGGAACCGAACCGATATATATTTTTTTTTTGAATCAGAACAGAAAAAATTTCGGTTCGGATCTCTGATAATTAATAATAATATAGTGTGTATACCAAAATAATAGTTAAATTTTTTATAATGCACAAAATGCTGGAATATTAAATATAACTTTGAAGAGTCTATAAACAAAAGTGGGAATCTAGCGTACTGAATTCTAAAAAGTTATAAATGCATCTTCTTCGAAGAGATTGCTGCTGTGCTGTAAATGTGCTGGATAAAATTTTATTTAGAATGTACTCGTATACGTGTGATAAATAATTAATCACACGCTGAACTATCACAATAAGATTGATATATAATATTGATATTACAATAATAAGAAAATAACTATCACAAAGGTATAAAGAAACTCCAATTCTAATGCAATCCTAACTCCAATTCACAAAGATGTATTATTAGGATAAATATTGTTAAAAATACAATAATTAAATACAAGAATTATTTCCAAGACCACAGATGGGTATTTGGCAATACAAAAACATCTCTATGGTCAGCCAAAAATTCAATTAATTAAAATAATATAAAATAAATTTTAGTTATTGTAGTTCACTATTGTTCGAAAAACCTCTTTTAAAGACCCATTTCTTAATATACTAATATTCATTATAGTTCTTCTGCAAAATAGTGCTGTAAGTAATAAAAAAAGGAGTCCATCTAAAAATATTGCTTTCTGCCATTGAAGTGGTAATTTTACGATTCAATGTGTAGCTTGAAAAGATACTCCATCAACCAATAATCTTACTTACTTAATTTTAGAAGTATTTTAAGTGTAATCGAACAGGTGTCAGAAGTTATTTCAGCGGCAATTTAAGCTAACATTTTACGATATTTTCACCTTTTTTATTGCCATTCTGTCAAAGATATTTTAAGGATTTTTCCCTTTTCCTTGCGTATTTATAAGTTATTTGTATGCTGGAGGAAAAATACCTGTGTTTACACTTTAGTAGTAAAATTTTACTAATCATGTTGTTGTTATGTGTATTGCACGCACTTCCTGAAATAAGTTTTGTGCGAGTATTGCCTATAAAAATGTTGTAAAATTTTTAATAAGAAAAATTTAGTAAACATAATTTTTTATCCTTATACCTTGACAGTGGGACAAAAGTGAATGTATAGTATTTAAAAGTGTCTTTTTTAAATAATGAAAAAAAATATAAAAAATATAATACGAGCACATGTACTTCTTACATTTACTACTTTATTGTGTAATTGTAAAAAGTATTTGCTCAAAGTACTATTTGTGGAGCGTTATATCCAAACAGCCACGTGATAACTAATGTAATAGAAAATATGGATGTGGCAGTATGTGGTTTTAAAACAATGATTTTAATACAATGCCTTCCATTACACAATACATCTTGCCTTGACTTTGTTACACAAGAAATTTATCCTGACGTTTTTCAGATGTAAGTATGTTACCAAGATTATGCGATTATTCACCACTAGACGTTTTTACAAGACTACTGACGCAAATTACTTCAAAAGGATGCAGTACTATAAGATTTTCTGTAGATCACATGTTGGTGTTGTATTTATTAATAAATGGCAAGATATATAAATATAATTATAACTTATTCATATGTGACATTTAATTACATTTACTTCTGCTACTACAAAATGAATAATCCTGTAATATGTTTTTATGTTATTGTTTCTGTTGTGAGATTTATTTACTTTTAAAATCATAAAATAAAATAATAATAAAATATAATAATAAATAATAATGAAATTAAAAACAACGCTATTGATTTATAGATTTAAATACCTTTCGTCCGCTATTGAAGTTCCAGAAGTTCCATTCCAGATATTAACTAGTTTTTAAAATTGATGAATAACGCACACACTTCATTTATTGATCACCTTCATTATCTGCCTTTTATTTTTATCTGGTATCCTTGGGGATCTATCAGTTCAAAATAGATAATGTGTGCCTTCATTTATTGCCTTTAAGAACTGTGATTTAAGAACTGTAGTCTATTATCAGTAATAATATCAACTTCACCTATTAACAAGGCAATTGCTATGAAATAAAAATATTATTATTTTCGGTTTAGTATCAACATATTTGCAATGCAATTAAATATTTTTAAAATAAAAGTCTTACTTTATTATGCAGTTAATTTTTTAATATACTTTTTAAACCTGATTCATGGGAAATTATATAAAATTCTAAGTGTAACAATGACATATTTCATTAATTAAATCATTTAGAGTTTGATTAATTATCCTCAATAAATGGATAATTAGCGTTAATGAGTACTTGATTCTAAGACAATCTAAAAAACCGAAAAATACATAAAACCAAGGATATAAAATTTTATGTATGGTGTTGCTATTGGTTTGTTGGTGTTAATTCAATTAGAAAATTTATTCGTTTCATGGCAATTAAACAATTTCGTTGGGTTAACATTGACACTTATGTGCGCACTTCACTGAGTAATTAGTCAAATCCTTTGACTTGGACAATAACTCGATGGCGCCACCTTAAATTACTGCATGACATTTTATATATTCAATTTGAATAGAGAGAAACTATGAAATATATAATTAATTTCATTATATTTTTAGTACAAAATATATGCGTTGTTATTCTTTAGAATAATTAAATCATTCTTTCCCTATAATAAAACTTACAGGGATATAATTAACTTAAAAGCTTCAAGAAGTGATTGCAGTATTTCAGAATTATCTAAAAAAGCCAGTCATATTTTCAGTAAACACATATGCATGAGGTTAAATAAGGAAATTATTATTTACTATTACAAATGGAAATAATAAATTATAAATAATTTGGAAAAATATAAAATTATTTAAAAAAAGTATATTAAAGTTCACAAGTCCAACAACAAAACAAAATTATTTCCTAACTTCCTAAAACAAAATCTCATCTAAAGAATCTACAATAAAAAATATTGATATGGCGTCTGTTCCTGCAGTGCCAAATAAGATATTTTCTCTATGGCAGCAGAAAGTTCACTTCGCAATGCTGAGTAGGTCAATGAAATCAATAAAATTTAATCAGATGTGAAACATTCACAAGGAAATTGATATTAAGAATGCTTGCGTGATATTCAAAGAAAAGTCAAATTATAATAAAACTTTCGAAATTGTAGTTATTTTTAACCATAAAAAAAAAACAAATTTGAGCAAAACTTTTATTTTAGAAATATATCCAAAAAGTTTCTTTTGGTTCATTTAATCCTCTATGGGAAAAGAGTAGATACAAACATACCATTTAGTTAAGTTATCTAAATCAGCAGCTTCAATATTGATAAGCATTGTAGGAAAGGAAAGAAAATACATATTCATAACATATGCCAAAGTTAAGGTTCTCAACTTACTAAAAATAAGTACTCTCTGAAATAGTATAAAAATTATATACAGTCTAGTCAACTGAAGTAAACTTTGTCGCAACAAATGGGTTTGTCAGACTGTTTAAAAAATTTCGACAATTATTACAAAAACCTTAAGTTCAATTGTGCCCAAAACCCACTTAAGCTCAAGTGTTAA